TAGCCCGGTGGTCCTACCACAGCGTTCCCTAGCCCTGTGGTTCTACGTCTGGTGGTCCCAAGGCTCCCAAGTCCATTGGTCCCAGTGCCCAGTAGTTCGGTGGTCCCAGTACAGCAACCTTTAGACCTGTGGTCTCAGTGCTCCCAAGTCTGGTTGTCCCAGGGCTCTCTAGCCTGGTGGTCCTAAGTCCGGTGGTGCCAGTGCTCCTTAACTTTTTGGTTCTGTCTTCCTAATCTGGTGGTCCCAAGTCCAGTTGTCCCAACTTTCCTGAGCCTGATGGTACCAGCACTCTCTAGACAAGTGGTCCTAATTCTGGTGATCCCAGCACCAGGGACCAGTGATCCTGAAGGTCCCAAACCCGGTTGTCTCTACTTCAGTGGTCTTGAAGGTTCCAAGCCTGGTAGTCCATGCTCCGGTGGTCCCAGAGGTGCTACCTTTGTCATCAGTGCTTCCTGTGATGACTACTGCCATCTTGCTGTACACACTTCCTCATTTGAGGTGGCATCGTCCACTGCAACTCTGTTCTGCCACTGCCCTGCCTGTTCTGACATGCCATGAAGGCTGTCCTTCTCTGCTCTGTCACGGCCACAGAGGCCGTTCCAGAGTTCCCAGTGTTCCTTGCCAGAACAGTCACAGCCAGTAGTGGCGTCACTTGAGGCTGATGATACATGGGGCAACTTTTTGAGCAATTTTGCCAGGCACATTTTTTTGAGCAGTGTTGCTTTGGCAATTTCCCACTGAAAATGGGTAACACATTTCTATCAGGATACTTTAAATCAGTCGTGGGCCCTGTGTCTCACCTGGTTGCCCATTGATGACAAAATTAGCTAAAGTTGCCCGGCAACATTGCTCAAAAAAATTAGCCTGGCAAAATTGCTCAAAAAGTTGCCCCGTGTATCATCAGCCACATGAGTTTCAAAAGTTCTTCTTAATGGAACCCTTGAGTTGTCTTCTGCAACTTTATGAGCAATGTTGCTGGGCAACTTTGGGCAATGTTGCCGTCAACGGCCAACCAGATGAGACACAGGGCCCATGACTGATTTAAGGTATCCAGATATAAATTTGTTACTCATTTTCAATGGAAAAGTGCCCAAGCAACATTGCTCAAAAAAAGTTGCCTGTCAAAATTGCTCAAAAAATTGCCCTTTTATCATCAGCCTGAGGCATTGTGCTCGCTGTGTGAACATGATGCATAGTTCTAGAATAATATGAGCATGTATTTACTCATCTCACCTGCACAAAACAGATTAAGTATTCCTCAAAATGAATAAAAACAATCAAATGCAAACTCAGAATATTATACAAACCTGCAATAATTAAATGTTAAATAAGACAAATATAATTTATGTATTTAATCCTGTTTTATTAACCAATCTCTTTGCTATTGACTTTCGATGATCCAATTCAATCATATTAAGCAAAAATGACACATTTGCATTTTTGTTTTTGATGAATAGTGTTGAACGTTCTTCTCCTGTGTCATATTCTTCATGCAGTTTGTTTGAGCTGCGCCCTCTACTGTACAGACGGAAATTTACATTTCCTTCAGCCTGAGGCGTATTCATTTCACTTTTGTTGTGAAAGGGCTTTTACATTTGTAAAATAACTTTTTTGTATTAAGGACAAACAATCAAGTCTTGTCCAGATTTAAAAAGCAACTCAAAAGTAATGTAATGCATTACTTTCCATAAAAAGTAACTAAGTAGCGTAATTACTTGTTTAAGGAGTAACGCAATATGGTAATGCATTACTTTTAAAAGTAATTTTCACTAACACTGATGAATACAAAATAAACAGACACACCAACTGCGGGTTTCACTGAACAAAGCTTGACCTGGTGGTCCCAAGGCTCCCAAGTCCATTGGTCCCAGTGCCCAGTAGTTCGGTGGTCCCAGTACAGCAACCTTTAGACCTGTGGTCTCAGTGCTCCCAAGTCTGGTTGTCCCAGGGCTCTCTAGCCTGGTGGTCCTAAGTCCGGTGGTGCCAGTGCTCCTTAACTTTTTGGTTCTGTCTTCCTAATCTGGTGGTCCCAAGTCCAGTTGTCCCAACTTTCCTGAGCCTGATGGTACCAGCACTCTCTAGACAAGTGGTCCTAATTCTGGTGATCCCAGCACCAGGGACCAGTGATCCTGAAGGTCCCAAACCCGGTTGTCTCTACTTCAGTGGTCTTGAAGGTTCCAAGCCTGGTAGTCCATGCTCCGGTGGTCCCAGAGGTGCTACCTTTGTCATCAGTGCTTCCTGTGATGACTACTGCCATCTTGCTGTACACACTTCCTCATTTGAGGTGGCATCGTCCACTGCAACTCTGTTCTGCCACTGCCCTGCCTGTTCTGACATGCCATGAAGGCTGTCCTTCTCTGCTCTGTCACGGCCACAGAGGCCGTTCCAGAGTTCCCAGTGTTCCTTGCCAGAACAGTCACAGCCAGTAGTGGCGTCACTTGAGGCTGATGATACATGGGGCAACTTTTTGAGCAATTTTGCCAGGCACATTTTTTTGAGCAGTGTTGCTTTGGCAATTTCCCACTGAAAATGGGTAACACATTTCTATCAGGATACTTTAAATCAGTCGTGGGCCCTGTGTCTCACCTGGTTGCCCATTGATGACAAAATTAGCTAAAGTTGCCCGGCAACATTGCTCAAAAAAATTAGCCTGGCAAAATTGCTCAAAAAGTTGCCCCGTGTATCATCAGCCACATGAGTTTCAAAAGTTCTTCTTAATGGAACCCTTGAGTTGTCTTCTGCAACTTTATGAGCAATGTTGCTGGGCAACTTTGGGCAATGTTGCCGTCAACGGCCAACTAGATGAGACACAGGGCCCATGACTGATTTAAGGTATCCAGATATAAATTTGTTACTCATTTTCAATGGAAAAGTGCCCAAGCAACATTGCTCAAAAAAAGTTGCCTGTCAAAATTGCTCAAAAAATTGCCCTTTTATCATCAGCCTGAGGCATTGTGCTCGCTGTGTGAACATGATGCATAGTTCTAGAATAATATGAGCATGTATTTACTCATCTCACCTGCACAAAACAGATTAAGTATTCCTCAAAATGAATAAAAACAATCAAATGCAAACTCAGAATATTATACAAACCTGCAATAATTAAATGTTAAATAAGACAAATATAATTTATGTATTTAATCCTGTTTTATTAACCAATCTCTTTGCTATTGACTTTCGATGATCCAATTCAATCATATTAAGCAAAAATGACACATTTGCATTTTTGTTTTTGATGAATAGTGTTGAACGTTCTTCTCCTGTGTCATATTCTTCATGCAGTTTGTTTGAGCTGCGCCCTCTACTGTACAGACGGAAATTTACATTTCCTTCAGCCTGAGGCGTATTCATTTCACTTTTGTTGTGAAAGGGCTTTTACATTTGTAAAATAACTTTTTTGTATTAAGGACAAACAATCAAGTCTTGTCCAGATTTAAAAAGCAACTCAAAAGTAATGTAATGCATTACTTTCCATAAAAAGTAACTAAGTAGCGTAATTACTTGTTTAAGGAGTAACGCAATATGGTAATGCATTACTTTTAAAAGTAATTTTCACTAACACTGATGAATACAAAATAAACAGACACACCAACTGCGGGTTTCACTGAACAAAGCTTGACAAGAGTGACAAGAATGTCATTCAAAATAGAATAATAAAAGACATGACTTAAAACATAAAACAAGCCAAATCTGCTGTACACAGCTGTGATAACAGCTCCTAAATATAGTAAATAAAGTTAGTGACATTACCGCACAATATCTGTTGAACAAAATGGTTTGCATAGTCAAAGTTATTGATAGTAAACTTGAGTGATTTCCTACTGATTTACTATGGGATCATTTTTATAAGCAATAAACCAAAATATAGTTGTAGTTGCTGATTAATTCACCTCATTGTCCTAATACTGCTTGTATGTCTTATAAAACTGTTTTATTTCTTTGAAGTCAAATCTATTAATCTGATGTTGTACCATATGTAATTTCTTCTGTTGGACACGCTTCAGTTCTGGCTTATTGTTGCATTGCATAACTTAATGTCTTTAGAGTTATGGATCATTGAAGCTGAAAAAACCAAGCAGTCCCACCCCATTACACTCCTTTTACTGTCTGTCACGTGAATGGTTTACTCATAAAGATAGATTTTATAAGGGCCAAGAGATCAGCAGATGCATCACACAAGTACACTAACATACCCTGGAATTGATTAGAACAATTGACTGCCCCATTCCAAGAGGTCCATCAATAACTTCTATTTTTTTTTTACTTTGGTTTTTAAATACATAGGCCCATTGTAGTGATTTTTTAAAATCACAATAGACAAAATTCAAGAAACGACTAAAAACACATCTGTTCCACCTTTATTTGTCCCTCTAAGTCTAGCACTTTCTATTCTATTTTAATTCTACTTTATCTATATTTATCTTCTTTTTTTATTTAAAAAAACAAACACTAGCTTTCTATTTTTTCTATTCTATCTACTTGTTTTTCTTTGTGTGTGTGTGTGTGTGTGTGTATACGTGTGTTTATTATATATATATATATATATACACACACACACACACACACACCTTGCTACGTGTACTGCGTTAGGCTAACAGATACTTGTCATTTGTACTTATATATTGTTGCTCTTTTGTTAGTTTTGACTGTTTTTATTGTCCTCATTTGTAAGTCGCTTTGGAAAAAAGCATCTGCTAAATGTCTAAATGTAAATGTAGCCTAAATGTAACAATAGGCTACAGATAAACAATAAAGACTACACCTAGTGAAAATGTTTTTTTTCATAGAGCCTATTCTCAGGTAAGTTTACGTTTGAAAACTGAGGTAAGATGACCCTACCTGGTGCAATAAGGGTAAACATCCTAGTCATTTTTTGATTGCAGAATGTATCAAATACATCTGATTGCATTGTACTCTATATAATATAAAGAAAAACAAATAAGAATTCTAAAATAAGACTGTGTGCGTTCAGCACATGAGTGGGACAAAGGCTGCAGGAGGTGACGTCAGCAAGCCGCTTTCCCCCCGTGTTGACTCAATAACAAGAAAGAAGAAAAGTGACCTGAGAGAAATGCTTTGTCTTGTGCCACATCGCTCGATTTCAAAACGACTTCAACAGCGCCGGTGTTGTGTAGCCAATGCGATCTCGGTTCTTCGGTCTTGTCTTCTCGCCAGTGAAGTTGAACGGAAAATCTGTTTAAGTCGTTTGCGCGAGGATTTCTGTTCCGAAAAGGATCTCTCTTTTGATTTTTATACGTAAACATGTTTGTTTTTTGGAAGAGCAGCAGTAATATGAGTGATTTGGTGGGTCCGGGGTATCAGGGTTGCGTGGACGGGTCTCTGATGGACGGATTCAGTGTTTTTATTCAGGGTCTGTTGGCTGTTCTGGCTTTCAGCACTTTAATGTGTAAGTTTCTTACGCTTTTAAAACCAAACCGCAAATGAAACGATGTTTCTGTGTGATGTGATAGTGTTTTCTATTTATTTATTTTTTTCTGATTACGGATATGATGTAGCACGTGGCTTGGGGTTTGTTTGTTTACAGTTTTGTTTGTTAGCTGTTGTAGTGTATGGCGGTGCTATGGTACAGAAATGCTGTTTTTTTTAATTTATGCTTGGTTTTGGTGCTAAATGATTAGCATATTTATATAGCATGGTATTTATATGGTACCTACTTCAAAAAAAGTCCAATATTTCATTTAATGAACATGTATGAAACACTATACATAGATTAAGCCATGTTTACTGTTTAGTGTTCCCTGTAAAGAAAATGAAAACTGTAGTAGTTACTTGCACTTAACCTTAAAGGGGTCATATGTTGCGATTTCAATTTTTCCTTTCTCTTTGGAGTGTTACAAGCTCTTGGTGCATAAAGAAGATCCGTAAAGCTGTATTCTTTATAAAAGTTCAGAGTCAGCCACACCTACCTAAAGCGGCTCGTTCTAACACGCCCCCGCATATCTACCTCACTATGTGGGAAGATTTCCATAACGCCGCCCAAATGTTCATGCAAAGAAAGTAGGCGTAACTTTTAGTCTCACTGTAGTATTGTTGACGCTGCAGCCATGTCGTGAAGACGCTGTGTGCTTCGTTGTAAAAGCGAAACTACTTTGTTTGGTCTTCCAAAAGAGGACGATATCCGCTTCGTCATGCCTAGAGCTGACCTGTGCTGGTCGCTGAGGGAATACATCAACTTTCACCGTGGACGAAGTGGAATCCAGCCCGGGGTCGTCACATGTGGTTGCCGCTCATTCGTCGGATCCGCCGAGTGCGCCGTTCTCAACCCCGCCGCCTCAGCTCACTCTATCCCGGCCTCAGCGCACGCTAAGCCGGGGCTTCCGCTCACGCTAGGCCGCTGTGTTTTTCGTTGTGAAAGCGAAACTACTTTGTTTGGTCTTCCAAAAGAGGACAAGACTACAAATCAGTGGTATTTACAACACAGTTCCAGAACAGTTTAACCCAAATATCCAGATGTGTGCAGGGCATTTTATGGAGGACTGTTTACTGATCCTGGGAGAGTAACGTTAGACTAAAATGCCGGCAGTTCTGACTCGCGTAAGTACGTTTTCATTTAAAGGATTTGCCACTGATGATTCAAACGTGAGTTTTGGGCAGTGTAGAGTAGTACTTGTTGTTTGTCATTTCTCCGATCACAAATGCAGACAGAGTTTTATGTTTACGCGGCGTGATGCAATGCAACGCAACACATAAAAAGACAGTATAAGTCATTATAATCAAGTAATTATGTCCCCACTGGACGCAACAAATGCCTCGTTTGTAATGGGTTTTAATGTTTTTGTCTCGTCGCTCCAGTCTGACACGGCATCAACAGTATGGTAGGGGCGTAACATTTCCGTCTCACGCTTGAGGTATTCAGCCAATCACAACGCACTGGATAGCTGGCCAATCACCGCACACCTCGCTTTTCAGACCGATGAGCTTTGTAAAAATTGACGCGTTTCAGAAAGGCGGGGCATAGAGGAGAAACAATAATGTACAGTATGTAGAAAATAATGTTTTTTTTACTTTAAACCGCATAAACATTTCATTACACCAAATACACAAAATAATGTTATTTTTAGCAACATCAAATGACCCCTTTAAAACGACTAATTAGAAAATGTAAATGACATTTGTTGATGTACTTAGGTTTAATCTGTCTTAACATTTAAACAAAAAACTGACACATATTTAGGCTAAGCAAAATATGTATAAAAAAACAATGAAATAATATTTACAGAACAGAGACAATGATTCCGCCTTAGTTAATATGTCTTGTAATATGTTTTCCCCCCTTCTTCCTGGTGCTTGTAATGCATTCACTCTTCTCATTGTGTGCTAATTCAAGATCTGAAGTGTTTAACTTTCAAGCAATTAGGAAACTTAATGACTTTTAATCAATAGCACTGCATATTATAATATCATTCAGTGACCTAAATAAACAAAACAGCATACACACCTATCCACACATAAACTTGGGCCCTATGAAATGTTTTTCTTTCACTCAATTTTTATACCACATTTCCGTCTCCATCTCATACATTTTTTTTTTTTTGCTTCAAATGAGGAACAAGACATTTAGACTCTGTGGTGTTAGGATGATGGTGACCTGCATCTAATATTACAGTCATCTGGTAACAAATCGTATGTGCAGTTCAAATGGTAATGGAAAACATTGAAATATTAAGGTATTTTAAAATAGTGATTTCTACAGCTGTAAAAGTCATGGAGATAAAAAAAAAAAGAAATAAAAAAAATAATTAATTCATTAAAACAAAAAAAAATATTCATTAATCACAAACTACTGGAAAAGTCATAGAAATTGGCAAAAAGGTGAGGAAATGCAGTATTTGATGAACATTTGTTCATTTCGTGATTGTGGACTTTGTCACTTGAAGTAAACATGAATTACACTTCGTTTTGTTTCTGTAATGTGATGTATTTCTGAGTGCAACGTAGTGCTGGGCGAACAACCACATAGCCGCTCTTTAGTGTAGATGCATGTTGATTTTATCAGACGATGCAGCGATTTTAAATGAGAGTGACTCCTGGTTAACATGTATTAAAAGGGGTCGTGTTTAGTCATTATTTAGTGTGGTATTTTTTGACAATATTCACTCATCATGACAGTAAAATAGGGCATTCTAAGTCAACATACTGCAGTATTTCCTCTCTCAATCAGTAGAAAATATGGTTAACACCCGGTCATGCATGAAAAAAAAAAATACCGTCATGTACCGGTATAATTTTGAAAAATACCCTTATATAAATTTTTGCTCATACCGCCCAGCACTAGTGCAACAGGATATTCAGTGAGGAAAATATATAGGCCGATTTTATCAACTGGGAATTGATTGGATCATGAACAAAGCAGAGTTTGCAAAAGCAATGCCTAAAGATTTGTTTCTTGATTGACATTATCGAGTATAGCGAAGAGAGGTCAGCAGAAAATGAAAAAGATTAGTAAGTTAGTAAATTAGTAAAACTGACTGCATTTCACTTTCCAACAAAAAACTCTTCTCCAATGAGGTACGAGTATTACTCAAAGATAAGATTGTTTAGCTGTGTGATAACACATGATAACAGCATCGACTCCTGTAGCTCATGTGATGCTCAGATCCCAAACTCAAGCTTCTGTTTCCAGCTGGAGGGATCGAGTCATGTGACCTTCCTTTCAAGTTTGAACCCTAAGGTCCAGAGTTGTTTCTTTCCCAATATCTAACCATGTCATGTGATCATTCAGTTCAAAGATACACTATAGTGTTTGCTCGGTTGATATTTGGTCATTCTGACCTAATATTCATTCAAACTGCTACTGATCATTTTATAAAGTGAATGTGGTGGTGTTAGAATGTTATTTACTTGGGTGTTAGATTAAAACTAACTTGTCCCACATTTGGGGTACGGATAGGAATGAGAACTCAAAACATGCAGCTTGTTGAAGTTCTAAGCAATCGGAATTTAGATTTTTACCTGTTGGATGATAAAATAGATGAAAAAAAGGCCAATTTAGCAATGTCCCGGCATGATGGCAGTGAGTTTTGGGCCTCACATTTGTTTTTGCCAAAGGATGTGAAATAGGTTTCTAATTCTTAATTCCCAAAAGCAGCTTGTTTTTTCTTTTCTTTTTCTTTTTTTTTGGTCATGCACTGAATAACCCCCCAAAAACATGGTAAATGACCTCTGACCTTTCTAAAGTTACACATTACCATGGATCTGTGCTGTTCCTGTTGATCATTAAACATTTTGCTGTGTACAGAGAAAAAAATATCCTAATCATTAGTTGTTATCAGAGGACTGGCATTTATTTATTCATGTATTTTTTTTCCAGTAAGAAGTTTAGCTTACATTTTCAGGATAGATTAAGATATTTGACCTAAAAACAAAGCTGGGAGAAGTTCTATCTTATGAGCACTGTCAGAGCTCTGCTTATGCTTGTGTATTTACTGAATGCACTTCCTCTTTGTTATTCTGGCCACTTCCTGGCTTCTTTTTGGCTGCTTATCTTTGTTGACGTCATCACTGTTAGTTTCCTCAGACATTCAATAATCATCATCCTGCTTCTGTTTGGCTGGTGATTACAGAGTAACCGTTTGTATATTTGAAAAAGATCCAGATATGTCTTTCAGCTTCTGTTATAGTGGGCTAGTTTGACATAGAGTTTTGACATTAAATGCAGTTAGTCTGTTCCTTGAGAGCGCTTGTTTTGATGTACATCAGTGATAGCGTTATTTCATTTCTAATTTTGTTGGTGGTTTAGCTGTTTTTTTCCCCCCTCCAATGTATTTGATTTAATTTTGGCTTATGTGTACTAGACTATTATAAAGACAGCAGTGGGGCATTTAGGTTTAACATAACTTTTTTTTCATCTTAATTCACCCAAGTGTTGTAAAAAAAAAAAAAACGAATCTATTTTTGATATTCAACATCATTTAAAAAAAGTGGATCAGGTAAAGTCCTCCATAAAATGCGCTGCACACATCTGAATTTTTGGGTTGAACTGTTCTGAAACAGTGTTGTAAATTTTGTAAAGTTGATGTATTTCCTCAGCGACCAGCACGAATCAGCTCCAGGCATGACGAAGCGGATATCGTCCTCTTTTGGAAGGACAAACAAAGTAGTTTCGCTTTCACAATGAAACACACAGCGTCTTCACGACATGGCGGCGGCATCAACAATACTACAGCGAGAATAAAAGTTACGCCTTCTTTCTTTGCGTGAACATTTGGGTGGCGTTATGCAAATCTTCCCACATAGTGAGGTAGACATGTGGGGGTGTGTTAGAACGAGCCGTTTTAGGTAGGAGTGGTTGACTCTTAACTTTTATAAAGAATATCTCTTTGGATTTGAGACTTTAGTCTTTGTAACTGTACAGATCTTTTTTATGCACCAAGAGCTTGTAACACTCCAAAGAGAAAGGACAAATTTAAATCGCATCATATGACCCCTTTAATGAGGCTGAAGTAGTATCTAAAACAATTTTGTTTCAGTTTTGCAATTTTTATTGTTAATTTTTACTCTTATTTTTTTATGTTTTTATCTCTTTTTGTCACTTATCTTTTACTCTTATTTTAATCATTTGTCATGTATATGAAATGGGCCACAGCCCCCTTATTATTATTAATTAAAAATTGATATATATTATTTAAAAAAGCAATAATATATATAAATTTTTCACGCCAAATATTTCACAAAAATATGTTTTACAGGTTTAAAATGGTTTTTATATATATATATATATATATATATTGGGGTGCTGTGTGTACATTAATGAGGAAAAAAAAATAACTTAAATGATTTTAGCAAATGGCTGCAATATAACAAAGAGTGAAAAATTTAAGGGGGTCTGAATACTTTCCGTACCCCCTGTACATATGTATTTATATATTTATATATTTATATATATATATATATATATATATAAACCACTTTAAACCTGTAAAACATATTTTTGTGAAATATTTAGCTTGAAAAGGGTGCATGCACTAGATTTCTTTAAAATCAATGACACTTGATTTTATATTTTGTTAACTAACTGATACAGACAACCTTTTTATCTCATTTGTGTCCCTTCATTGCATCCAAACCAATGTGTGTTCCTTATAGAACATATATAAAATATTGGCTATTAATCAGAATTAATATTTTATTCCGTAAGGACACATTAAATGGATCAAACATGACAGTTAAGACATTTATAGTGTTATAAAAGTTTGTATTTCAAATAAATGGTGTTCTTTTGAACTTTGTTCATCAAAAAATCCTGAAAAATGAATTTATTGCAAAGCTATACATACAAAACAGTTTTAGATATTGATAATAATAAGAAATGTTTCTTGTGCCAAATCAGCATATTAGTTTTATTTCTGAAGGATCATGTGACACTGATGCCAGAATTCATTTTAAATATATATTAAATAAATAAAAAATCAGATAATATATAATAAAGATAATATTTCACAGTATTACTATTCTTTTATGTGTTTTTGATCAAATAAATGCAGCCTTGCTAAGCACACGATCGTTTTTTTTTTTTCTTTTTCAAAAACAAAAAATAAGATGTCTTTACATCTTTGTCTTTACAGTGAAAAGGTTTCGTGAACCCGTCGGAATAAGAAGACCATGGAGGATCTGGTATTAATATTAAACATTAGTTCAGAATTATGGTAAAATAATACAAAAATAGCACAGAATTTTTTTTGGTTTTCTCCAGGTTCTTTGATACGTCAAAGCAGGCTGTTGGGACTCTTTTCATGCATTTTGCCAACGTTTTCTTGTCCACACTCACCAATGAAGATCCCTGTTCTCTGTGAGTCAATTATTAGCCTGATTATTTGTCAAGTTTATTGCTTTAACCTGCCATTAAACTAACCGAATGGCCCTTTTCTGTTTTTAACAGATATCTGTTGAACTTCCTGTTGGATGCCACATTGGGAATGCTGGTGATCTGGGCGGGGGTGAAGGTTGTTTCCAAGATAGTGGAACATAAACAGCTAACACTGCTGATGTTTGGAGAATACGGTGAGTTACACTGATGGAAGCTAGTTATAATGGGTGAAGAGTGGGGATAAGGGGTCAGTTTAATGTCCAAGACTACAGGCATAACACTCAGGAAAACATAAACCAAAAATTCTAAACAAAAGAGAAACTGATGCATCTATTTGAGCCGTTTGTTACCACCAGAGGACGCTGTATGTTATATTTTTCAAATATGTTTGGGTAGTTTCCCCACATTTGCTTTTTCCCTCTAGAGGGATTCCCTTGGTAAAACACCATAGAAAAATAAAATCACACACACACACACACGTGTGCACATGCACGCAAAGCAGATGGAATACGCCCATAGTTTCACATGATTTTGGCCAAACAATTGTTCATGACTGTTTTTCTGCTTAGATCAGTTTTATATCCCTGTTTTGACTGTGCGCCATGTCCAGTTTACCATTATGTTTGGAGGCTGATCACTTAAAAGTGCTCAGATGCTAAAATCAGTGCTACTACTATAATAAAATGACCAGCATTCATTAAAGTTAGAGAATGATTTCTTACGATTTTTTAGTTTTTATCATATGGAAGAACGTAAGTGCCATATAAACAAATAAATGAGTCTTTGATTAAATACACCAATGCATTTGCCAATCTAGCTTTCAATAAAAAAATTATCAAAAATAATCATCATAAAAATAATGTGCTTATGTAGCAATAAATAAATGTATGTATCTTTCACAAAATAAATAAATGATGAAATTTCAACAATTATTATATGTGTTAATGCATTATATAATAATGTAATAAAGTGAAATGTTATGTATTTATTTGATGTGCATATTATATTTATTGATTGTCACATGTCATGGTTTATTATTATTTTTATTAAATTAAATGTATTTATTTATTTTATTTATTTTTTGCCAAATTTCATGATTTATATATATATATATTTATTGATTTATATATCGGGCATGATTTATTTGTTTATTGAAAGGTTAGTTCATTTGTTTACTGACACATTACATGGTTTGTTTATTTATTTATTGGTTTACTTATTCATTAAATAAATGTATTCATTTATATATATATATATATATATATATATATAAATGACATATTTCAATAAATAAATAATCAATTTAAACAATCTCTTTATTTTGTTTCTGAATTTTTAAAAATGTTTTACAGTTTTTTTTTGTTCGTTTTTTTTGGCTACTGATGACTTAACAACTACATAGCAATAGTGTCAAGCACTTCAGAAAATGTAATCAATTGTAGTACATTTTTGAATGTGTTTTAGGTGATCCTCCTCGGATAGCAGCCTGGTTGGCTCAGTGCTCAGTGTATTTACTCATTGTTGCTCTGGAGAAAAGTGTGGTCACTCTGGTGCTGCTCGTTCCTGGGTGGACCAATGTAAGATAAACTTTCACACACTCAAATGTTCTGTTATTGTTACACAGACTCACCCCACTGCCATCATTTCCCTAAACTAAAACCGGTCTCTGATCCAAATATTTGTTGTTAGATTTTGAGCAATATATAGGCCTAACTCTTTTTGGAATGGTTTGCTTTTTTTTTATTGGTTTAGATATTTTAACGCAATGACATTCATAAGGATGACAAATTAAATGTTTTTGGTGCCTGTGTATAATAAATAGACAAATTACTATTTCTACTGAAGGATGTCCTAATATGCAATGATGAAATGAGGACTGTGACTACAGAGATAATATTTCATCTGGATTAGCGTGGGAATAATGAAAAGATTGTCTGTGCATGATTTCCTCTATAGACTTGTTTTAATTTCAGTGAAATAAGCTATGTATTTATAAATGTACATACTTAATACACTCAGAAGAAAAGGCACAAAGCTGTCACTGGGGCAAGACCCTAAGGAACAAAAGCTAAAAGGTACATCTTTGTACCTTATTTACCCCTAAATACTATATATTAGTACTTTAAATGTACATATTAGTACCTTTTGAAAGGGTACCGCCGCAGTGACAGCTTTGTACATTCTTTCTGTACATGCAATTTCAGACTTGTTCTAATTTTTGCTGAAAAAAGCTATGCATGCATGTACAATGTAAAAAAGAAAAAATGGTGTGGAGGTGATTTTTGCTTAGAATTTGCTAGTAAACAATTACAAAGAAACTGCAAGTAACCCATTGAATTAAACACGAAAGTTGAAAAATTGAAATAATATTTTCCTGTGAAACACAATCTTTGTTTTATACAAAAACGTCAAAAAGATCTTTTTTTTTTACAGTGTATGCAATCTGTTTTTTGTTTTTTTACCGGCACATGCCATGTCTTTATGTTTTCAATGCATACGTCTTACATGCAATTTCTCACTGTAGGATGTCTAGATATTCTCGAATCATTTGTAGACAGATTTCATATTATCATTTTAATATACTAGATGGGTATGCATTGACCGCTGGTGTGTTTGTGTGTTATAGTTGGAGGAGGTGGTGCTGGACTACATCCCAAACCCACAGCTGGAGTTGGCTATCGTCATGCTGATCGTGCCTTTCATTGTAAACGTGAGTCATTCAAGAGCATCTATCTATCTATCTATCTATCTATCTATCTATCTATCTATCTATCTATCTATCTGTAATATAATGCACCTTATTTCTGTAAATATGTGTGTTTCAGTCTATAATGTTCTGGGTGGTGGACAGTTTAACAATGCGGAAATATAAGAAAATGACGTCTCTGGAGGGCTCACGTGACTGTCCCAAGCAAGTAGAGGTGTTGCCAAATGACAGCAATGACGAAGCTGAGGTGAGAATGTCCCAATAAATAAAAACATTTCACTTGTAAAAAACACAGTTTTGACCAAAATTGTAATGTAATAGTCAATTATAATTGCCTATTAAAAGTGCCTCACTTTATTGCTATAGCAATATGGTTTATCACACTATTAAACTGTAATATAGAGTGAAATGTAAGCAAAGCACATTTTTGTAGTCATTGTCCATTTCTAAGTCATATTTAAAGTGATGTTGCCAGTGTTGAGGTTTAGTGTGTATGCTTATGGTAGCTCAATAATTGCTACTTGACTAATTACTATTTGCCATTTACAGTAGATGATGCTTTTGACTTTTTGAGACAAGTCATTGTGTAACTTGGGTTAAAGTAGCTCACAATAGTGTGCTGTAAAAAATATTTTGTGACAAACATATACAAATTTTAGTAATGTTAAAAATATTTTTAATATGAAAGCCTGGATACTGTACATTTTGTTTGTAAGCTATTTTAATGGTCAGATTTGATAGAAATACAATGGTTCTTTAAAGTAACAAATGCCAGTTCTCATGTTTTACTCATGGGTCACTTCTTGCAAGATTTGAATTGAAGCGTGTCATTTCTGTGGCACCAAAGAGAATTCCAAAAGCTTTCGTAATATCATCATGTGCAAACCATAGGTTGTTCTTTATCCTGGGTTTAACAAATCCAGGAACAAATGAGTCCGTAAACCTGATCCTAATGACCCTGTTCCCCATATCTGTCCCTCAAGACATTTCATTCTAGTCTGGATTAATTCAGCGGTTCTCAGCTGGTTAGTCTCAGGCCTGTAGAATAAAGCAGGAAAAAAACAAACACAGCTAATGCAAATAATAAAATGCAGTATAACCATATAATTGTTTATAGTAAGAATGCCATGGATTTACCAAATTTTGCAGTGGAGGAGTGAAAAAAAGCATGTACCCATTCAAACTCAATGATATTTTTATGGACATTCGTCATCACTTAATAGAAATTACCCAAATTAGACAGATGACACATGTGTAACCTGATCTCATGGTCATAAAAAAATGAAATATGACCCAGAGTACATAAAATACAGATTAAAATGATCAGACAGACCAGAATGTGTTTTCTGTGTTGAATTATTTACTGTCAAGAGCATGAAACCATCAATTTATTTCTCATTCAGCCGGTTACATTCATAATTTTCCATATTATTGGGCTAATGCTGAATAAACTGCATATAATATGAATAAATCAAAATGTTTGATTTTACAGACACCCACTTGAGGTCCAATGTAAAATCTGGGTCCTGAAGCAAAACTATTTAAAACCTAATTAAATTTTTTTATTAGCTTGGCTTTATTCTTGCATATGAATTCAAATGAAATGTGCCAGCTGAAATGAATGTTTTGTTTCTTGGGTTGTATATGAATAGTTTGATTGTGTGTTGTATTCTTCTTCTTGAATGGTGGGATTGTGCTATATGAATGTGATTACAGAACAGATTTTTTTTTTTTTTTATATATTTGCATCATTTGACCAAAGACATTTCCAAAGGCCGTTGACCTCTAGGGTCAAATGGTCTTCATTTGTTTGCCAATACGGGGTCTTTCCCATCTCTTTTACTTGGTTCTCCTCTTCTTCTCTTTTATTTTTTTCTCATCCCTCTTTCCCTCACTCCTCCAGTTGTGGAAGTGTGCCAGCTGCTCACAAATCATCCATTTGTTCGGCGGGAGCAGTGACATTTGGAACATGTTTCCATAAGCTCATGCTATAGAGAATGAACCCAAATCTGTGGAAAAGTGTGTTTGATGAGTGCCGATATGAACGAGATCTTACAAACTGGTCTAGTGTCAATCTTCTGCTGAATCCATGCATCTGGGCTTGTGGTTTTATAATCAGTAGATTTACGCAACTATAAAGTGATCCAGCTCACATGAACGGGAAAACGATCATGTGTAAAATCTGGCCAGGCTCTTCAGTTGACCTCAAACTGTGTTTATATGTTTGTGTAGGTGCTGCTAAAGGAAGATGAAGATGATGCTACAGTGTGTTCTGAACAGGAAGAACACGTCTCAACAAAAGAGGTGTTAATACGAGTCTGTATGGAAGTTTAAAACAAACGTTTAGAAGTATACTTGTCAGAATTTCTTAAACACTATATATTAGTTCCTAAACCTAGTGAGCTGCCTTGATGTTTACTTCCTACATAGGCAGATACCTTCCAAATTGAAATGGAAACTCATAAGTGACTTTGGAACACTCTAATTAGACTTCAACTTAGCGCAACTCAGAACTTTTCATGTTAAGTACACACTGGAGATGGGACTCGGTTGATACCAATAGAGTTTGGAGTTAGCATGTTGCTAAGCTAACAACACAGTGCCATAGACTGTAAAAAAAAAAAAAATGGATGACATGTCTCCACTTCCTTCCACTACGGAAAAGTGAAGCCAAAACATCTCAGTATGGCCGCTGTCATCTTGCGAAAAAAATGACGTCATTTGGAGCCCAAGTCTGCACAGTAGTGATTCATTTGGAGTCTGCGCAATAGTGATCAAGAAGTGGAGTCGCGGTATCAAAGTCCCACCCAAACTCCCGCGGACCCAATCGCACACTCACAATCATGACACCACACCCCATTTTTGTAGCATCAAATAATTAACTAAAAGCAAACTTATAAAAAAAAAAAAAAAACGCTTGAACATACATTAATTAAGAGCGATAAGAACTACCTAAAAATATGGAAACCATCTTTGGGAAATGTTATTGTATTATCTGTTTTATTAAATTGTATTAATTTCATAATTCACGTCCCATTCGTTTACATGGAGAGGGCGGGGGTTTTGACCTATACTGCAGCCAGCCAACAGATGGCGATCAAAATGTTTTGGCTTCACTTTTCAGGTGAACACAATACTCAATACTTGAGACGATACTAAGTATGAAAAATTGTCAATGTTTAGTTAGATTGATAGATACTTTTTTAGCATTAAATGAAATGTGATTATCATCGACATTTCGTTTATGAAATTTGTATGCTAGTTTGGTCTGGATGCTTTAAATATACCTTTTCATGGGAGTACACTTGGGAGAGTAGATTTACAATTGTTTCCAATTGAGGGGTGTTTACACAACACCATTTTCAACTAAAAACGGAAAACTTTTTATGCGTTGTGGCCGTTCATTTACACGATAATGGTGCTTTGTGGGTCTGAGAACCCGAACTTTTGAAAATGGGTTTAAAAAAAGTGCAAGGTTTTGAAAACCGTTAGCGTGTCCGTGTAAACTACAAAAACAGAAATTTGTGAAAACGTTAATGTCATGCGCATGCGTATTATATGTTAACATAGTGTTTCTACAACAAAGTGACATTGCCAACTACTGGCCTGGCATACATAATACAGCGTTTTTAGTCGTTTTCGCGAAACCGTGTAAACGGGGATCGTTTTGACAACGTTGTCATCTGTACATGAAAAACACAAAGGAAAAACGTTTCTGTTTTTCATGTAAACATGCCCTGAGTCTGATGTTAGCATGTCGCTAAGCTAACAACACAATAGGTAAACGGATTCCTTTGTCAACATTTCTCTCAGATCGTCCGCCATCTTAAAATTTTATTTAAAAAAAGTAAGTAAATAAAATTAATCGCAATATTTTCTGAAATTGCCTTCTCCGAAAAAAGAAAAAAAAAACTCATGCAATGCTGCCAAATATTTTAGTATTCAATTATGTTTTGGTTACCATGAAGATACGTTCCCAGAACATTCTGATAGCAGTTGTTAGAGGGACAATGCTGTCTAGGTAGGCAGCTCTTTAGCTTTAAGAGCAGCTGGGAAGTTTTAACAAAATTTTAAGCAGACACATGCATTTTGACATGCTATACTTCATGTAAAACTGCATTTTGCTTATACTCTTATAATTGTTATGCATAAAGCTTATATTAAATGTGAGCTCATTTAAATTGAGATACTACATGGAATATTTGTGCTTTTAAAAATTCATGTCCGGCTTTTAGAAGTAGTGAATCAAAAATGTGATTTAAAATGGTCACCATCAGCGTCTAAGTTATATATTTTGCTTTATACATTTATATAAACTTCAACCTAAAATCTTGATGTTGGAAAAAAAAAAAAAAGTTCAGTAAGAGCAACAGTTTTATGAAATACTTTAAATTACATTGTATGTTAATGTTAAAGCAGACTAGATAATTATCAGCATACCAGTTATTAAAGGGAAACATTATCCTCCTTCCACATCCTTTAGAGTTCATACTTCTAAGAAGTTAATTAAAAGAAGAGAAATGGAGAGAGAGATGAGAGAGGAGGTCTAGTGTTTCTCCTGATTACAGACATTCAGACTTTTAATTTGTAGTCTAAACAAGTCATGTCACTACCTGTGATGAACACCTCGCTGTAAAAACACTACAACCATGCTTCCAGCTCTGATGCATGCTAGAATATTTCATATCTGAAAGATGCGCTCAAACAATTTGTAACTATTCAGTATTAAGTGAAAGACCAAATTATCTTTGTTTTTTTTATGATTATTTTTACACACCATGCACTATAGTTCTGAATAACAATTTGATATAACTGATGTATAAAATATACAACATGATGTAAAGTAACTGTAAACTTAGGAATTTAAGCTGTTAAATTATATTGATTTCTTCAAAATTGTAGCGATGTCAACACGCACATGCAATTTCTTCAACATGAGGAAACATCTTGTTGAAAAATGTTGACTTGATGCCTTATTTGGATGAAAACTAATAAAACTAGTTTGAGTGACTTAAACATAAATCGTCAAGTGATATAAAATATTGCTTGTAATATAAAGTCCAATCTAGAACTCATTTTGTAGCAGAAAGTTGCCACTTGATTTTTTTAGGAAGATTTGTGTTCTTAATGCATTTTTTTATGTACTAATTGTTTTATAAAAGTAATAATGCACTTAGCACCATTTTGCTTAATTTGAACCATAGGGTCAATGTGTGGATAAACGTTTTCGCTATCAGTAAGCAGGGTCACGTCTCCAGACCTTTTATGTGAAGTATATTAATAACCACAGCCAACAAAGTCCTGTGTGACAAAGGGGCTCTAAGAGGTAAGCACACCTGGAAGGGGTGGGTCCTGAAACCATTTGACCTCAGTCTGATGACAGGGGCAAACAGGTCACACTCAACCAGACATTAGTCAAGTCGGTTAGAATTTCTCAGCTGTTGTGGATATAACACCACTCTCTGGGGCAGTACCCTTTCAAAAGGTACCAATATGTACCATTTAAGTACTAATATGTACTTTTAAGCTACTAATGTGCACCCTTTAGGGATAAATAAGGTACAAAGGTGAATGTTTTGAAAGGGTACTGTGACAGCTTTTGTACCTTTTGTTCTGAGAGTACTTTTTTTTTTAAGTTTGTTTTATTTGTGGTTTGTTTAACATTAATAATTTTTTCTCCTTGCTAATAGTGACATTTTCTCTTTGCCACAATAATGTCCCACTTTTTAGGTAGGCAGGTTCTGTAAGTATTTCTCTAATTAATTATCGCTTAAGACCGTATATTTCAAGCAATTTAACATTTGAAAAATACATACAATAAAAAAAAAACATTAGGAACTTATTGAAATTATTATTTCACTTTAATAAACATCTGTAACATTAGTAAATCAAAAGGATGCATGTCATCAAGATTCTGTCTGATAAGATGATTATTTCTATGTTATGCATAACCTATAAATGGCAGATATAAAAAAAATTTTAATTCAGAGCTATTTTTAGAATTTAAAACATACCACCATTTATCAGTTATAGTCAGACTACAATATAAGTATTGACAAAATAATTATTATGGATACAGTGACATTTGTTTTGTCACATTGAATGATATTGAATAAATATCTGCTGAAATTATTTTAAAAAAAGCTAATAATGACCAGTAACAGATATTGTACCAATATGTCATACATCCCTGACAATAATTATTTTTATCTTAATTTATTTCTTGAACTGAAGCTGAATCAAAATGTAAATGTAGTACTTTAATAAAAAATACTAATATTTCAAAATAATTATTGACATCTTTATTGGCATATGTTTTCTATCTGTCGGTTTGTCTGTCTGTCTGTCTATTATCTATCTATCTGTCTGTCTGTCTATCTGTCTGTCTGTCTGTCTGTCTCTGTCTGTCATCTATCTATCTATCTATCTATCTATCTATCTATCTGTATATCATCTATCTATCATCACTTAATCTCAGAGGTCATGGTAGTTTTGTCTAATTTCATAAAAATAATTTTCTCTACAAAGATTTATACTTCTTTATCCTTTACTTTTATGTTATTTACCAAAAAGAAAACAGCCTATTGTTAACATTTAATGTATTAGTACAAAATGTTTTCCAAAAACAGTCGGTTACACTTTATTTTAAGGGGTCCTTGTTACAGTTTAATTATACATTTAAGTACTAAGTAATATTAATTAACTACATGTACTTACTAT